TTCTTCATTATGACAAAGCAAGCACTCAACACGATGAACTGAAGTTTCTGCCCAATTAATGACTTACTACCCATATTAGCCTGATTTATCACCCAATGGTAAGGGGCGCAGCATAGTATTCAAACCTCGTAGGAAGTAAGGGACGTCCACCTTACAAGAAGAGCATTTAGTTTTAATTGCTCGTATATTTGACTTTTAAATTAATTTTTTAGTAAACCTATAGCTCTTAAACGCGACCATCTTCAACGTTAGTTGACCTACTTTAGTTGATATACGTTTTTTCTTGGAAATTAATTTAGTATAGATAAAAAAATGCCTAAAAAGAAATGTGTTAATGTTCAGCTGCTGTTTCGCTCATATCATAGGCCTACATAGTGTAGATATTTACACCGATATGAGATATGAGAAACAAAAAGATGTTGTTTCGTTTATAAACAAATTAAATTGTTATGTACCTCGATATTTTTTAAAATTAATTGCCCCAGAAGATGGAAAAGTTTTTCCAAAACATTTGTATTTAAATAAAAACTATAATTCACAGATCATATAGAAGATTTTTTTTGTTTTTGAAAATACTGTTTGTTTGGTATAAGCGGGGAAATTGAGAAGTGGGGACACTAGAGCACAGTATAGAGAACAATCAGTATTGCCGAATCAGAACTGCGTCGATTGTGCCGCCATTTTATCAGGATCAATTGAGTTGTCTACTTGCAAAACGGCTACATCCAAAATTGTTCAAAACTAATTTTAAAGTGCGATAGTATACTATGAAATACGCTTTATTACATGGTATATTCCGATTATATCATAAGCAACTCCCTATGACTGAAGTCTGCGCTCAAATATTTTGATGCCCAGGGGCCCTATTCTCGAATGTCTATTAAAAATGTCACATTCGTCATAATGTCTACTCCTAATGTCTATCAAAATGTCGATTGACCGAAACTATCGGTATTCTCAAAGGCAAATCGACATTTTAAAATCGGTGACATATTTGGCGAATGGTAACATCTGGCAACATTGGATAAAAACATACAAGACGGGTATATTACAGCACACAATTACTTGAAGGATCTCTTAGTAATACAAAATAATACTACAAATATATTCCAAATATATGTCTTTTTGATAAATACTAATAGGAAGTAGAAAATATAATCTTTTTACCTGAAATTTCATAAGGGATCAAATAGAAAATTGGAAAAAAATAGAGCTATATAAATTTCTTAATGACAGGTATTAAATCTCTTGGACAAACAGGAGCAGTGTCGGATCAGGACTTCCAGTGCCTACCGGTCAGAATGGAGAAGGCCCATCTATCAATTTTTTTCGTGGGCCGATTCCTTGAAGAGCAAAAAGGTGCCCTCTTTGCACATTGATGCTTTTTCCAAGGGTTATTTCGCATTTCTTATTCTCAAGGGTCCACGGACTGAGGCCCACTGATTAAGGCCCAGTGCCTAAACGAGGACTCACTGCCCGAACGAGGGCCCACTGCCTGAAAGTGGACCCACAGCTTGAACGAAGGCCTACCGGTGTTTTGCCGGTAGACCGACGGCCCAATCCGACACTGAACAGGAATAATAATTGATAAATTAGGTGAAATTGTAAATAATCATTTCATATATTTTTAAAAACAATTTTTCATTTTTCTTATAAATATAAACTGTCAATGTCACGACACTCATATTATAACATTATATTTAAAAAGGCATGCGACATTACAATGTCGACTGGTTCAATACCACTCGACTTTATGCCTAACAACAAATGTCGAATTCGCCATTCCAGAACACGTTTTTGCGATCTTATTCGACATTTTAACAATGTCGCGTGTGACATTTAGAAATAGACATTCGAGAATAGGGCCCCATGTTCGAATCCCACCGTTGGCCGGGATTTTTTCATTTAATTATTTAAAATTATTTTGATGCGTTGCAAAACCGGCTACATCCAATGTAAAATGTGTTTCAAAAGCGACCCCATCCAAATTAGTGAATTAACCATCAATGAAATGTTCTCAGAATTTATATGAAGAAGATATTTGTGATGTTCCCAAAGAATTACCACAACCCAATATTTAAATACCAGAAAGTGTAGGATTTGGAGTGGCTTCAAGTTAGGTAAATCTCCCTCTTCTATTTGATATGATCCTATACTATTACAAATTTTAAATGATGGTGACTCATCGAAGGATTATGGTCGGCCGGTAACAATGTATTCCTAGAATTACCCATAATCCTCCTATGAAGCGGCGTAACAATGATTCGCGATAAAATGCTGATATTGAATAAGCTTTAATTGACATGATTTTATTGATTTTCGTTAAATATTGTTTAATCTGCTTTTTATGAAATTTCTGATGAGTTTAAACAGTATCTCGACAGTCATCTATAAAAAGAACATTGCTCCATGGCCTCAAATTCCAATGTAAATGGTCCCCGGAAAAATGCAGTCTAGCCCCTCGGTGACGTGGAAGTAATTTGGGCCCAGTTGCTGGTCTTCAACTTTTTAAACCAACCTCCTATAATCTTCGACGAACTGTAAATACACTCACATTCTGATCTCGAACATCTTGAAGCCGATTTCTAGTTTGCACCTCACGGTTCCGTAAAGCATTAAGCCTGATATATCGCTCGTCAACAGCGGTAGTTTTGCGCTTTCTATCACTAACTGCTTTACACTTATTTATGCCAGCTTGTCTGAAACCTTCGACTACCCTTTTGACGGTAGAGCGATGAGTATGCAGTACTCTAGTCACATATTCAAAATTTCGCCTATCTTTAACGAGAGCAACAGCTTCTACATAATCTTCAGTACTGAGAACCATGGTCAACTGTAGGTATACAAAATTTGACTCTCAATGACATTAGTACAACAATCACCAAAGCCACCTCGTCAAATTAGAAAATTACCATTAAAACCCAAACCCAACGAAAAAAATAAAAAAAAAAAAATACAAATTTTTCGAGGCAAGTTTATTTTGGTCTTAAAAATGAACCAAGGCACGTATTGACATGAACCCAAATGTCGAGACATGGTTTTAAAAGAAAAATGATGTTTTAAGAAAAATCGCTAGAACATTATCTCACAGGGTGTTTCAAAAGTAGGGTAAAAAACAATAATAGGTCAAATATTAATTTTTATGAAAATACTGAATATAAAAATTAAAATTAATAAAATTATATATAGTGTGCTAAAAAATTTACCAAAATAAGATTAAAAAGAAAAAAAAATATGACACTTTCAATTAGACCTAATTTTTTGCGGTGCATTTTTTGCATCCAAGTGTACATATTCAGAAACGAATATTTTCTTCAAAATTAGGAATATTGATATTTTTGCTAATATCTCAATATCTTCTAAAATAGATGCGGTCAGTTTTGCAATTAGACGACTCAATTGTCAAGCGATGTGTTGTGTAGTGGTTGCCAATGCCTTTAATGGTAGTCTTCTGCTAGTGTTGTATCCAGATAGTTGTCAGTTGAGTTATTGTCAAGTTATTTTTGTTTCCAGTATTGGTATCCACATATGCTTCATAGCCAGTAATAATAAATTATAAACAATAATTATACAGGGTGTTTCAAAAAGGTATGTCATAAATTCTTCCTCAGTTAGATTACCAAAAAATAAGTGGATTTGGTTATATTTACCTATATCAAAAACTGGCTCCCAACTAACATTCGAAAAAATGTTTTTTTTTTTTGTAAAAAGTTTGCTGTTGTGATTTTTTCTTGTGCTGTAGATTTGAAGGCCCCATATTCTAAGGAGAAAAAAAAATTAAAGCGTCCTCTTTATAAAAAGTTGGGGTTGGGTACCTTTTAACCCCCCCGTATTTTTTTTTACGTAAAGAAACAAAAATCGCATATAAAAATCAGTGGTGTGTCTAGGGTTGTGCTTGAGCCGCCCCTGCAAAAACTAACTCTTTTATTTATATTTTTGTAAAACAGGTATTTATAATATTGGATTGGCGCCATAAAAATGGCGTGCCACTCGTCCTAATGGGTTCACCATGCCACTGTTAAAAATACACGTTAGTTTGGAAATGTATTTATTAAATTTAATAGTAATTAAATAAATTATTTTTTTATTTAAACAACAAAAAATTAACAATTAAAAATAAACACTTGACAATAATTATTATACATATTTTATAAACTATTTAATTTAGTAAATGTTCAACATGTCCTCCTTCTTGACTACAAAAATATAAATAAAAGAGGTAGTTTTTGCAGGGGCGGCTCAAGCACAGCCCTAGGCACACCACTGATTTTTATATGCGTTTTTTGTACAATAATTCCTGACCTACTCTTAGTTTTGATATATTAAGTCCAGGACGGACGAATTGCTCTAGAAATGCAATTAAAAAATTTGTAAATAGCTCGTTACCTAAGAAAGATACAAAGTTCATTTCGCTATAAAAAAATAACGTTTTTTTGAATGTTAGTTTAACGCCCTGTAACTTTGTTAGGAACCAGTTTTTGATATAGGTAAATATAGCCAAATCTACTTATTTTTTGATAATCTACCTGAGGAAGAATTTACGACATACCTTTTTGAAACACCCTGTATATCACGTATACTTTATTACACATCTTTTGAATTTGAACTTTACTGCAGTCTCAATTTCAGATGGGAGACCAAAGATATTGTAGCTGTAAAAGTGTGCTATTATAAATTTTTATTATTATATAATTATTATTAATTGCCTCCCCCTAAAAAAAACAATGCACATATATATGTTGCCTCTAGCAATATATGCTCGAAGCCATATTTTAACTAAGTTTTCGGGCGAACACCATGTATAGTGTAAAAGCAGAACATACATTTTTTTTAGGCACATCTTTATTACAAAATGCAATTTTCTCATAGGCGCTAAACCTAATCGCCACTCCATCTACAAAAATAAAAACTACATTGCCCACATTTTTACTAAATAAAAACAATTCTGCTTTAATTAAACTAAACCATTTTGCAAAAATTTTTTTAGTAATTCTCCTTACCTGATCTACCGCAATCACAACAAGACACTAATTCCTCTTGCGATCCGGTTTTCTTATTTTCACTGGAGTTCCCCAGACAAAAGTCACAGTACGGATTGGGGGAATTCTTCTTATCAGGAACCGAGGATGGTCCGGGACTCCCCAAAGACTCTTCGATGACGGACGGAACTAAAGGGATGTCAAAGTTTTTCTCCGGCATTAAAACCGGCATTTGAAGTTCGTCCGTCTGGGGAGACGGCGGTCGAGGAGGAAAATTCGGTGGTAGAATGGGGGGTATTTGCCCGGGAGACTGATTTAGAACCGCGGGTGGTATCGGTACCTGCGGTTGTGAACCAGGGGAATTGGGCGGGCGAGGGCCTCTGCGACTTAGCGAGCCTATGGTATAAAAAAATGTAATACTACTTTTTAAAGTTATTAATGCGATGAATTTGTAGGTATACAAGACACAATCGGGATGAATATTTTACATAAATGAAATATAGATATGTAACAGTTTGGGTTTATTCGAATCCAAGATCTACCCTTTCTTCTTATTACTGTTTTTCTCTTCCAGTTCCTTGATGTGATTCGGCCATTTGAAATTGCGCCGACAAATTTAGTCAAAGCTGTTAATAAGTAGTTTGGAATTGACAATAATTTCTTGTGATTTTATATTTCCAAAGCAGACTTTTAAAGTTTTTAGAATTTCTGCTATTTTTGTTTAACGAATTTTATTAGTTTTAAAGTAATACAAATAATGATTGAGAGTAGAAATAAGCCCAGTTGATGGCAAATCGGAGGCGTGCTTATTAATTATTAATTTTTGAGAGGGTTAAGAATGAACCAAAAATGCTTAGTACAATAATTTAAAATAATCACAATTTTTTTATTTAATCCATTAAAACTTTGCAATATCGTAATACCTAATCGTTGTAGTAATTAGTTGGGCTTTTTGAAAACGGAGTAATAATTGTGGTACCAAATAAATTAACAATATTAATAAAAATCACAATATATATTTAAAATTAAAAATAAGAAAGATACCTAAATATACAGAGTGTTTCATAATATATGCGCAGGACTTCAGGACGTGATAGCTCGTTCAAAAATATGAAAAAACGTTTCTATTAACTTACCCTCTAAAATGCACCATTTTCGAGATACAGGGTGTAGAAATTGAAAAAAAAAAAATTCTACGCCACTGGAAAAAATACGGTTTTGAGACGCCCATTTGAACCGTCAATGTTTTCTACACAAAAAAGTTACTCTTGGTCATACGCTCTAAAGTCGACCGTTTTCGAGAAAAATCAAATTTTGTTTCATCAAGTATGTATGACCATGTATTTCGACATTAAAATTTGATTTTTCTCGAAAACGGTCGACTTTAGAGCGTATGACCACGAGTACCTTTTTTGTGTAGAAAACATTGCCGGTTCAAATGGGCGTCTCAAAACCGTACTTTTTCCAGTGGCGTAGAAAATGGTGCATTTTAGAGGGTAAGTTAATAGAAACGTTTTTCATATTTTTGGACGAGCTATCACGTTCTGAAGTCCTGCGCATATACATATTATGAAACACCCTGTATAGACTTCTTTTAGTGAGCAAATTTTCACCTAATCTTCAACCTCAAATTCGTCACTGCTGCTACCGCTATCAAAGTTAATTATGAATGGTTCGATATTGTGTTCAATACGGTTGTCTACGTCCAACATTTTTTGCTCTTCTTTTAAAACATGCTGAATGCATTTCTTCCAGTCTTCTGCAGAAACATTTTGAATGGCTTCTTGTAAGAATTGTTGCACGTCCACTAATTTAAATGTTCTGTTTTCTCGTGCCACATATCCTTTCACTTGCGCCCATATTAATTCTATTGGGTTTAATTCGCAGTGGTACAATGGTAACCTTAAAACTGAATTCCATGACTTAACGCCATTTCATCCACTGAGAATTTTATATATTTGTCTGTGTTTAATTTTGTTAGCTGAAGTAGTTCTGCTGCTTTTAAACTATTTTTTTATGTTGGATGTTTTTATTAATTAATCATTCTTGGATTGCTGCTTTTTCCCATGACTTTGGTAATGATTCTAAATGCCGACTATGATATGGGGCATTGTCCATGACGACGACAGACCCAGGTTCCACAAGTTGAATGATGCCTTCAAACCATTTTTCAAACACCTCCACATTCATCTCTTCATGATAGTCGCCTGTTTTCTTAGATTTAAATATTAATTAACCATTTGGTAAAAATCCACTGTCGCTTCCTATATGCGTAACTATTAGATGACTACCTATTCCAGACGGCTGTTTTAACCCAGTTGACAAGCCTTCAATAAAGGCTTGTCGTGCACTTGTTATATGACCATCCTGCCATACTTTTTTGTCTGTATGTCCTTGGTTAACCCACGTCTCATCCATATGTAGTATTTTTTTTGAGCTTCCAAAATTCGTCAATTTTTCTGAGATAATTTCTTCTCCATACTATTATTTCTTGACGTTCAATGAGAATGCTTTCCTGTCGAGTTTTCTGTACTTAAATTTCATTTAGTGTAAAATTTTCCTCAAAGTTTCTTTATTCATTTGTGGGACCAATTCATGATCGCTAACTGCCTTCAGAACTTTTTGCAAAGTATGCAGCTCATTTCTGAAAAAGAAACTATGAATAGTTTTGCGTATACTGTTTTTGGCTGCTTCATCAACTGTGATTTTTTTTTTCGTCCGCTACTAGTTTTTGGCGTTTGTACTTCCTCATGAATTTTGTTTTCTCTTAGTATTTTGTAAATTGATGATTTTGGTACACCCGTATAATCAGAGCACATATCAACTAATTTATTTATTGCAATTGTGGAAGGTACACCCGCAGAATTACAGCACATATGCACTAAGTCATCTTTTGGTCGCTGATGATCTCTTTCAAGACTTATTAGCACTATTATTTTCACTAATTGTTTACAGGTCGATTACTTTCGGTTTACTCTCATTCATTATTTGTATAACTTTAGGTGTGAAAATGACTAAATAAATATTTAATTTGCTTTCAAACATACATTTGGAGAAGTTCCATATCGTTTCCTATGTAAATAAACAAAAGTCATTGGCGGTACCATTGTATTACTTTTATATTTAAGAGTATTAATTTCGGTACATTAGGTATCTAATTAAAGGAATAACATATTAATGGCAAACCATGTGATGTATTATTTGTTATACCATTAAAAGAGTTAATAATGTTTTATGCAGTTTTTCAACAAACCTTGCAGAAAGGGAATTTGGATTCAAAATCTAGAAATAGGAACAGTTAACGTTAATAAAATCAATAAAAATACTGCAATAGGGGTGATGAATTTAAGGCTATAAGCAATTATTATTTGCATAAGTGTGTATTTGGTGTATACACACTGGGTGATAGAAGAAAATAAAAGATTTTTAAATTTCAAGTGTGCAGATGTGAAATTGTATTAATACAATTCCACTAATTTGGTAAATTAAGTCAAGCGCTTTCGGCGGTTAAGCCATTATCAGGACGTCAAAAACATCATTAAGTAAAATATACAACTTCAAGAAACCAACAGGTGTTATACGCTTCCTACAGGCCTACTTTTTCCATTCTAAAAGCCAAAGGTTAAGAAGACCGCTTCAAAAACTTTATGTTAACCGTCTACTGCCCTTCAGCGAATTTCATGGGTTTGGCAACAGTTTTTGAAGTTGTGAATTAACACACTTTTTACATGACATCATGCTCGTGATGACGTCCTCGATTGTAATAAACTTCTTTTACGTTATATCCTGACTGTGCCTTGTACAGCTAATCAACAAATAAGCATATAATCTATTTCATGCAAATTTCAAACACTTACAATGTGTCATAAATTAAAAGTCATCAATCTCAAGAGATATTTTTAATAAAAAAAAAAAATAAAAAAAACATTAAAATATCTAATGAAAAATACTGGTCCAGTAAAAAATGATTTTTTTACCAGTAGAAAAACAACTTTCAGTATATAGAGTGATCATTAAATATGTGGTAAAATTTTAAGGATCTAACTAACAGATCCTTAAAATTTTACTCAATATTAAGATAAAAAGTTCATAAAAACGTAGGTGTGAAACGACTTTATTTGGAAAATACATGGCGACGAAAAATTAAAGAAAAAAATGTTTCTCCTAAATAACTGGAAGTAATAACTAACTAGTACTTACTCTTTAAAGCTATTTCAGTTGTCAAATTTATACAAAACTTTTTTTTATTTCCATTGTGCACTTATTTTTTTGTAGTTTTCAAAAAGTTGCAATAGTAATACTTAAATGTTATGCAGTTTTATATTTTTTGTTTTTGTCAAGAAAAATTGGAAATATTATTTTTGTACAGTTTTAATTGCCCAAACTGATAAAAAAACTGTTCTGTTTCATAAAAGTTTTGCAAGTTTCAAAAATTATAATAATTCAAACAAAGGTTGAATATTTTTTTGCTATAGTGAAATAATATATAAAAAAAAATGTTTTTTCATTTTTGTCATTATTACACTATCGCAAAAAGATATTCAACTTCTGTTTGGATCAGTATTAGTTTTGAAACAAGCAAAAACGTTTATGAAGAATAACATTATTTTTTGAAAAGGTGAAAATAAATAAGTTTTTCCTCTTTTACAGTCCATCAATATGAAATCGCATTAATTACCCCTGGGCAGCACACTGGTAAATCGAGAAAAACTTTTTTGCTGCATTAAAAATTACCAAATAGTTTTAATTCAAAAACTCTAATTTTTATTTTTCAACACCCTGTATTTTCAAAATAAGTACGTTTAGGACCTACTTTTTGTTTTAAAATTAAGTAAGAAATGACATCTTATAGTCCAATCAAATAGACCTTTGAATCAAAATTTTGGAGGAAATACAGGAATTTTTGATACAAGTCACTTTAGAATATTTGAAAACTATATGAAAAAATTTTTCCTACGACTACTTAGGAAAGTGACACATATCACACTATATAGTCCTATGGAAAGTGCCCTATATCACACGCGTATGAATAAGAATTTACTTTCCACCTGTGTTCGAATATGCTACTTTCCGCATCAGCTGTCTCAAAATGTCAAACGCATCATTTCTATTCTGATCTATGTAACGCCCGTATTAATACTAAAATCGATATAATTGTTAAATTATTGAAATTGTTGTAAATTAGATCCTAGATATTTATCTTTAACAATTATTATTAAAATAATTTTAAAATAACTAATATATGTTTGCTTTTTATTCTGGTTAAACACATAACCGATTAGATCATTCAATTGACGCAAGGCCTATTAGCTCAGGTGGTAGAGTCACAGCTTATTCAATACAGCTAAAACACTCTCTTGGCGGCAACGGTTTGCGTCGATTCCGTCGCGCATCGC